CACGCGTGGGGTTGATGTTGGACTGAAATAATCCAAAGATAACAAATAATTTAATCCATACTAATATTATAAATGCGAAAGTAACTCTGTCTGTCTGTCTTGCTTTCACGCCAAAACTACTGAAGCGTTTTAAATGAAATTTGGTACACAGATAGTCTAGATAGAGCCTGAGAAAGGACATAGGCTATTTTTAGTTGAAAAAAAAAAGGGTTATAAAGGGTTGTTAAAGGGGATAGATATTTATTTAAGGGCTTCAACGCGAGCGAAGCCGCGGGCGAAAAGCTAGTAATAAACACTATTATTATTTTATGTCAGGATGATTCCGTTTTCCGTGCAGCGGGGAAGTTCAAACTCTAAACTCATCTATTCTATAGTTGTTCAAGGGCGCGGGAGTTTCTAATATCAGGGGAATTGCTGCTTCCCGCCTTCTAACATCAAAAAAACATCTTTCTTTACCTGCGTTACCATGATCTGATCACTCATCATAATAAGCTTAGATTCAGACAACTTTACTTGATAGTTTAGGGACTTAAGATGTTTCTTATTGCAAACGTCATAACAGCACTGTTATTTTAAAATGTATGATCGTATCAATTACAGCCATAGTCGCGTTTGTGTTAGACAGCTTAGTAGGTATTTGTATTTGCGTAATGAAAACATAGGCAGTCATAGAAGGCTAATGATTTACTTATAATAAAACAAAAGCAACTTACAGTTCCTAGGCTCGATTAGAAGCCGAAACCGAAAAGTATCCGTACAACTGTCATTATTTTTTTTGTGACGAGGTGGCCAGTGTTGTTGCCTGTTTTTAATAAAGTGGGCCCCGGTCACCTCACTCAGCAGACGAAACGCAGATATATAATACATCTACTTCACGTCGGTCTTCTGTGAGGTCGTGGTACTAACCCGGAGGGACCATACCATTCGTGCAACAGCGAAAACTATTTCGTGGCCCTACCACAGTCAATGTGCAGTCTAAACTAATCGTTTAATAGATTCAGTTTAAAAAGGCAGGAACACAATGCCCGGTAACATAAATTAGCTCTAATTGACGACTCTGAGTCGAAACACGAGCGGCCGTAACCGATTGACCGGTTTAAAAATACACAACCCAAGACCCGCAACACCCAGTGTGGTCTGGCGTCAACAATCCATTCGGTTTCGTCGCGTTATGTAAATATACTATAAATGCGTTCGTATTTTTTTCTATTATGTTCTATTTATAACGCGTAAAGCTCTATGTACGATGCTGCCAAAACTGTCATTGTCTATATTGAGGTGTGTCGTAAGGGTTGCCATCCCAGTAGCGTCATAAAGTCGTCGTAAATATTATAAGCCCGTACTACAGTCATGGCATTTCAATGTATGTAGTGTTATGGGATCTATAAACGAATCTAGGAGCAATAAAGGGCTCGCTTATTTGCTCCGTTTTCACCGACTTCGTAAAAGGAGCCTCTCAATTCGTTTGTGTTTTTTTTATCTTATCTTTAATTTAAAAGCTACTCTCTCATCGGTGCAGCATCCCCGTAGTTCAGCTGTGTAACACACTGCATCCTTCCCGGTTCATAGCCCTATCCTTTACCTCCCTATATATTTTTTTATGATATACCTGGGGTATTTGTTTTGTACTATGCAAACCGAGCGATATATGAGATTGCCTGCGCCATCGTCCGCAGATCATTCTTAGGTGATTTCTCATTCAACCGTGCACTTCTATTTCAATATGAGACTACACGTCAAGTGATACGATCCGAAACTTTAGACTGGCTACATCAGTATCGGTTTCTCGAATAAATCGTTATTCTTTTCTTCTTAAATTTTGTTAAGTTTACCCTAATAAATGTTCGCAAAATATTTTAAAACTAAAACTTGAAATAAATTGTGCCTTCAATGAAGGATATAATTCTTTTAAACTAGACAATAATTTGACAAGAATGTACGTAACTCTTTTAAAGTCTAAGTCCCATTGTAGTGTAAAACATTTTAAGGGACAGTATTTTAAGACTGACTTTACCGTCAATCAGCGGTTCCATTCAAACGTAATTGTTAAGTCAGCTTTAGCGTAAAGTCGAGATTTCTAAATTATTTTCCAACCTATTCAAACAGCAACCTTGGCCAGTTACATCGCGTCATAATAGCCAGAGTTCGGTTTCGAGCGGATTTTGATCCCCAGAATGGATGGAATTGGATATACGGTGGTAGGGCCACGCAGCAGCCTCGGCTGTTGCACGAATGGGCAGGCCCGTCCGGGTAAGTACCACGACCTCACAGAAGACCAGCGTAAAGTGGAAGTATGACAAATACTTGCGCGTTTCGTCTGGTGAGTGAGGTAGCCGGAGCCCAATTTTCAAAAGGTTGTCAACGCATCTGTAACCCTCGGGTGTAGCAGATGTCCATGGGCGGCGGTATTCACTTAACATCAGGTGAACCGTCTGCTCGTTTGACAACTTTTCGAATAAAAAAAAAATACTGTTTATTTTTTTTTTGCACAACAAATATCTAAATACTAGCACTTAAAATAAAATTCAATAATTGACAACCCAATTATTGAACAAAAAAAAATATTTGCTTTGTTAATAAGTTATAAAAATAATAATAACAACCGCTTTGAGCGGTTAAACGCGATGAATCCGTTAAATATTTTTGATGAACCGTGCGCAAAAACGTTAAATCAACGAGTAGTGTGCAAAAGATATTGCCAAATTACCCGGACGCTCTGTTTCGTCACCGCCACAATGATAACACCGGATGCTGTGGACGTGACCCTCGCCGCTTGGCGTCTCAAAATTGGTCCCACATTACGCTAGGTTTTAGCAGTGTCATCGAAAACTATTGCGTGATATTTCATTCGCAGTCATCGTTTCGTAGAAGTCAACATCATAGAAGTCGGAAATCGCTTCATGGGACTCAGACTTTAAAAATGTACATTTTTCAAATTATTGTCTAGCAAAAAATTATATCCTTCATTGAAGGCACAATTTATTTGCAAGTTTTTACGACGGAAAAGGAAGATTATTCGAGAAACCGATACCGATGTAGCCAGTCTAAAGTTTCGGATCGTATGTCTTCATAACCGGCGTAAATATTACACGTCTGGCATAGTGCCGAAGGATCGCCGATTTGCCAACACCGACTATTCAAAGTCAAAGTCAGACTCAAAGTATATTTATTCAATATAGGCCTAACTTAAGCTCTGCAATAAGAGTCAACAAAAAATCTACCACCGGTTCACTAAACTAGACCTGCACAGAGACGAACCGGCAAGAAACTCTGCGGTCTTGTTCTTTTTGGTTTTTTTTTAATTAAAAGTCCATTTACAACCGACTTCAAAAAAGGAGGAGGTTCTCAATTCTTTGAAGATATTTGAACTCCGATTACGATTCTCGAATCCATCTGAACACACAGAAAAAGATTCATTTAAATCGTTCCAGCCTAAACGGCTGGAGGAGTTCAGCGACATGTCAATGTTCAGTTTACATATACAATTTTTCTGTACTTGTGTCCGTACAGAAGAGTTATACATATACAAAGATAGGTGACATCCATAAACAACTACTCCAATGACAAGAGCCTAATGTAATGTCGAAGAATATAAGATAATTGAGAACAAAGATGTGTCGAAATGACTTAATATTTTTGTGATGAAAAAATATTTTTGTATACTTGTATTATTAAAAAAAAAAGATAAGCCGCAGAGCTTCTTGCTGGTTATTATCTGGACAAGTCTAGTTTAGTACAATAAGAGCTTAAAATAAGTCTTTAGTGAATAAAGAAATTTCGACTTTGATTGAATGTCCATTCAAAATTAAATACGTCAAAATAGTATTGTTTAAATAGTGCAGCCTTTGCTAGCCATTTGTAATCTGAGTGGACATTGCGAACATCTACGTTCATTTATGTACGCACAACAAAGGCAGATATCAATGTTGATATTTAGAAATCAACTTCAGTCCAATCAAAAGATAAACATGACTTGTAAATGACGTCCGGTGCCAGAGAATTACAATTATTTTAATATAATTTACCTCTTTCGTTGATCAGCAGAGTGCACCGCGGGCAGGCGAGGTTGGCTTGGGTCCCGAGAGATGTTGGTTGGGACCCCTTGCACTCAGTCAATGGGGGAGGCCTATGTTCAGCAGTGGACGTCCTACGGCTGATATGATGATGATGATGATGATAATTTACCTTGGTATCCTTAGGCATCGACTAAACAAGACGTTTTTCATTTAATGACTCGCTATTTGTAAAGTAATTTGCATTCGGCCCAATGATCATAAATATTTGATTAGAACAGTAAAGTTGGAGAGTGATGAATAGACAGTTTTTTATACTATGAAATTATTTTACGGATTTTATAGCGCTTCATTTTGGTTTTAATTCGCCTAGTGTTTACAATAAAGAAAAAGGGAACATACCTTTTATCTTTATTAAATAAAAAATTAATTATAAAGATAAAAGGTAAGTTCCCTTTTTCTTTATCATTTATCCGATCATTATTACCGTCACTTTGGTGATATACACGCCTCGAAGATTTTATAATTCTTATAAAAGTACACATAAAAGTATATATTCACGCATAATCCTTTTTATTCTGATACATTTTGTTAAGAAAACCTATTAATTATTATTCGGTTTTTGTTATACATTGCACAGATATTTTATTTGTCCAAAAAGGTGACGTAATGCCGTTACTAAGTATTTCTAGCTGTTATCGGGTTCTTTGTTAATTTAAATTTGTTTTTCCTTTGGTACCGAACTCATATATTGATGTCAGATGATCTCCGATATTTTTATTGATCTAAGCAGGTTATCTTAAATCCTTGATGTTATTAAATCTCCAGTTTAAGCAGATATAAGGTAGAGGAATTACTTTGACCTACTTATTTGTGTAATCTGTGCGTGTGTCACATTTTCAGTAGAGACGAGACGGAGACCATTATTATCTCTTAACTACTTCCAGTCCAAAGTTCGCGGGCTTACAGACTTGATGTACGTTACAGCTGCAGCCCGGAACGAAGAAGGACATGCTGGGCGTGGCGGTGGGCGCGAGCCCGCTGGGCCAGCTGCTCCTCTCCCCACTGCTGGGCCTGTGGGCTAACCGCGCGGGCGTCCGGACTCCCCTCGCAGCCACGCTTGCTCTGTTCGTGCTCGCTTCGGTGCTCTACTCGCAGCTGCACTTGACCAGGCCCTACGCCCTCCACTGCATGATCGCCGCAAGGTTCCTGATCGGAGTCAGCTCCTGTAAGTGCTATCTTCGCGGCTTGAGACGGGTAGTGGTGAAATGTAAGCTGCAGTGGTGTTTGCTTAAGGTCTTGCAAGAGGGTCAATCGTTAACACACCATGAATTAGACTTCCGCTTCTTGAGACTAGTGATACGTATTTTTCTATTGTGTTGGGGCCACGTAGCAACTAATGCTGTTGCAGGAATGGGTAGGCTCGGCCGTTGAAGTCGGTTACCCAGAGTCACGTGCAATGGAAGTATTTGACTATTACGCTCCGTCTCGTGAGTCAAGTAACCGGAGACCACTTTTTTAAATTACCGCAGATGTCTATAGGTAATCAATAAACATCAGGTGAACAGCCATGTTTGTCACCTACTCACACAGAGAAATGAGCTTTGCTTGTTAGGGTCCAAAGTTCACTAATGTATTAAACGCTTTACAACTGGACACTGGATCGTTACCACAAACCTCCGGACTAACTTAACGCTGCGTACACAACGCTCTGGAAAGACGTTCCAGAACGTTCTGGACCGCGCTAGAAGCCGAACGTGCTATGCGCAGCGAACGTGGCGGTGGCGCGCGCCCACCTGTCCGCGGCCACTCGCGCTGATGAGAGGACGCGCGCCGTTGCGGCCGTATCGCTGGCGCAGGTGCTGGGCTTCGTGGCGGGGCCGGCGCTGCAGGCGGCCGCCGCCCCCCTGGGGGCGTCCGCCCACCACGGCCTGCGCTTCGACATGTACAGCGCCCCCGGAGCGCTGAACGCCGCCCTGGGGCTGGTCAATCTGCTGCTGCTCCTCCCCTGCAGCTTCCGCGAGAGCGACATAGCGCTGCGCGAGGCGGTTCGCGCTCAAGGGGACCGCTCAGGTACTCCAGTCTTGCATACTGGTCTTTAAACTTGCAGAAATGAAAGAGAGGGCAGCGATCGATGGATCCATCAACTTGATCAACATTTATCTTACTAAATAATACTATGTATGCGGAATTATCGAGTTTATTTGTAGATTCCCGACGTTTCCAACCCTTTATTCAAGGTCACAGGACAGACTGAGGCCTTGGAAGTCTGAGTGTCGTCATTATTAGTGCAGGCTACCGCCTGTTTCGCGGAAAATGCTAATTTTATCTTATCTTGCAGCTGTGGTTCATTTGGGTCTAGATTTAATCGGTGTATCTTGTTCTTGTACAAGATCCTTCACGGGTGTCCACTGAGAACGAGCCGTGAATGGGTTAGTTCGACCGTGGTACTATTCTTTAGAAATTCCTCCGTTTCGATTTTGTTCTAACATAGGTATTATCCTGTAATCGATTGTCCTTCTGCTACTTACTCTTTAAATGGAAGTTACTCTGCCTGATGAACTTTTAATGTGAGAAAATGCCAAGAGTTGGCAGTTCACCTGATGGTAATTGATATCCCTTAATATTGACTATTTGACTGCCCTTACACCCGGCGGGTTTCAAATCCGTTACCACCTTTTAATAAAGTGGGCCCTGGCTACCTCACTTAAGAGACGAAACGCAAACCCGTCCACACCCGTCTGTGGGGTCGCGGTACTTCCCCGGACAGAGCAGCCCATTCGTGCAACAGCGAAGACTGTTCCGTGATCATACCACAGATGTGACCACGGAAAAAATAAATCCTATTCCAGAGAAGGAAGTGCTGAAATCCCTGAAGCCGGACTACGTCAGCAGCTGGATGCTGGTCGGGGCGTTCTTCGTGCTGGTGTTCAACTTCGTGCTTCTAGAAACTCTGGCCAGCACCCTCACGATGGAGCAGTTCGGCTGGGGCAAGGCCCAAGCGCTGCAATACCTCGGCGCGCTCATGTCGGCTGGCGCGCTCGTGGCCTGCCTCGTGTTTGCTGCGATACCACCGTTAAGCAAGCTGGTGGAGGAAAGGTATTTCTGCCCCTTCCAAATCTATCTATCTTCTATATAAATATATAAGAGATTTCCACCGATAATTGACTCATCACGATATCTCTGAAACCATAAGGCGTAGAGACTTTTGCCAGCCTGTTTGAGTCCACTGCTGAACATAGGCCTCCCCCACAGACTGCCATGAAGTACGATCCTGAGCCACCTGCATCCATCGACTTCCCGTACATTTGCACAGGTCGTCACTCCATCTAGTGGGGGGTCGTCCTACACTGCGATGGCCAGTACGAGGCTGCCACTCAAGAACCTTTCTTCCCCAACGGTTATCGGTTCTACGAGCTATATGGCCGGCCCATCGCCACTTCAGCTTGCTAATCCTCTGAGCTATGTCGGTTACCTTGGTTCTACTGCGGATGTCTTCGTTACGAACTCTATCACGCAGAGAAATACCGAGCATAGCCCGCTCCATAGCTCGCTGAGCGACTTTGAGCTTCCTCATACGGCCAGCAGTGAAGGACCACGTCTCGGTTCCGTAGGTCATCACTGGCAACACACATTGATTGAAGACTTTAGTCTTCAAACATTGAGGTATATTCGACGAGAAGATTTGCCGAAGTTTCCCGAACGCTGCCCATCCGAGTTGGATTCGCCGATTGATCTCTGCGTCGAAGTTGGACTTACCTAGCCGGAAAGCCTAATTGTCCTAGGTAAACGTACTCGTCATCAACTTCGAGCTCAGTGCTCCCAACGACAACCGGTATAGGCGTGACATGGACATTAGACATGATCTTCGTCTTGTCCATGTTCATCTTAAGGCCCACCCGTTGGGAGACACTGTTGAGGTCATTGAGCATAGCACCCAGGTCCTCCAGCGATTCTGCCATGATGACTATATCGTCGGCAAATCGAAGGTGGGTGATGTATTCGCCATTGATGTTAATACCTCGTCCTTTCCAGTCCAGAAAAGTATATGTATGGAAGAATGTATTTATACGTAATTGTATGTACTGACACTGTTTATGTTATTTAAGTTAATGTTTAATGACGTTAATTGGTTTATCGGTGGAAATTCATCAAGTCCGCTCTTTTGTGTCTGATTTACAAAGAAATACAATAAAGATAAGATAACGTAATAAATGTAACACATATGTACTATATTTTCTATAAAAAAAAAAAACAACAAAACCCGCTTTTGGTGAATCCTTAAACGTAACGGTTCACCGGACTTAGTCACGACGTTAATAAATTAAAATAGAGCGATCTGATAATTTATCGTTATTTTTATTTGCTAGACCTCGATAAAAGTGAAACGTTATTGATAGCATATTTTAATAATATCGTTAAAATAATACATCAATGTAGAGGAAAGACACGGGAAGACATATTACTTAAAAATGCAACTTAGAAAAATACGTTGAGATTTTCGTCGGTGTGAAGATCAGCCGTTTAGCTCAGTGGCTAGAGCTCGAACCATCGCAGCGGCGAAAATCTTTTCGTCAATTTTTCGAACATTTACCGGAATTTTGTTTTGTCTTCTTACACAAAATATTTCGATATTTCTCTAAAAAAAAGGGCCTTGCTTCTAAACGCCTCAGTTTAAATCTTAGGCAACTAATATGTGGAGCTGCCACAGGGCTTTGCTGTTGTGGGGCGGATTCCTGCCCACTTGCCTGGCCTCGCTGCTCTGCATCCCCTGGGGGCCTGGGGCGCCGCCCCTCGCGGAGCCCGGAGACCAGGAGGCGAGCGGTGGCTGCCCCCAGGTATACCACCAACTACCACTTATATATAACTATAGTGTAGGCCATGCCCCGTGCAGGTATGCCACTAACAATCACTCGCTGTATGTATATATAAATGTATGTATATAAAAGAGCCGTGATAGCTCAGTGTCCGGGCGCTCTCCTTTAATTCAATATACTCGAGCAACCTGAGTTCGATCCCCGGTGCCGGCACCAATGAAGTTTTTAACTTTAAGTGCTGACTTATCACGTGCTCCGCGGTGAAGGAAAACATCGTGAGGAAACCTGCAATTTTCGAAATAATAAACAAATATATATATTTCGAAAATATGTGAAGTCCGCCAATCCGCAGTGGGGCCGCGTGGTGGACTATGCCCTGATACCCTCTGTATAGAGGAGGCCTTTGCCCAGCAGTGGGACATGTATTGGCTGTTACTTTACTTTACTTATATAAAATGTTTGTATATAAATATAACTGTGGTAGGGCCAGGCAGCCTCTGTTATTAATAGTCTTCGTTGTTGCACAGATGGGCAGGTCCGTCCGGGTAAGTATCGAGACCTCGCAGAAGACCGTCGTGAGGTGGAACTGTTACACTTCTATGTTTGTGAGTAAGGTAGCCGGGGCCTCCTTTATTGTAACGTGACAATGGATCTGCAACCCTACGGGTGTTGAAAAATGTCAATGGGTGGCGGTTATCACTTGATATCGGTTGAACCACCCGCTCGCTTGCCACATTCTCACATAAAAGTGCCACGGCCTCTGAAAGCTTGGGCCCACTTTTTAAACGGTTGGCGACGTAACTGCACCACGAGTGTTGAAAATCATCATCAGCGAACTACGTCCACTGGACTGTCGCGACACTGGAGGAGTTGCAGGAGTTGCAGGAGTTGCAGGAGTTGCAGGAGTTGCAGGAGTTGCAGGAGTTGCAGGAGTTGCTGGTCTTGGAAGGGATTTCATATCCAAGATGACCGCGCGTAATAGTGTGTGTTGTATACGTGTACGTATGAATATTGTATGCCGGTTTGTGAGCACACAGAACATGTATGCCTCTGGCGTGCTGATAGGGTTGTGCTACTAGACGGCAGTTGAGATATGCTGAAACGTTTTGTTTCCCAGGCGACGCAGCCCTGGTGCGCCGAGTCCAAGGCCCTCACGCTGACCCAGTTCCTGCTGGCGTACGCCTTCGTGTCCGTGGGCTACCCGCTCGGAGTGACCCTCATACAGACCATCTTCTCCAAGGTTCTCGGCCCTAGACCTCAGGTAAGTTGGCCGATTCTTTATTTGCCTTAGAATCTAAGATGCATGTAACTTTTTTTTTATGTGAAAAGTTGCCAAACGAGCAGACGGTTCACCTGATGTTAAGTGAATACCGCCGCCCATGGATATCTGCTATACTCGAGGGTTCCAGATGCGTTGAGAACCTTTTGAAAATTGGGCTCCGGCTACCTCACTCACCAGACGAAATGTGAAAGTATTTGTCATACTTCCACTTTACGCCGGTCTTCTGTGAGGTCGTGGTCCGGACGAGCCTGCCCATTCGTGCAACAGCCGAGGCTGCTGCGTGGCTCTACCACCGTTAAAACTTTAAAACCTTAGATGCATAATTGTAATATATTGAAGGTAGTAGAACTATGATTGAATACTTTTAAATTAATAACAAACGAGCTTAAAATCCACTATTTCAATGTTCTTTTAAGAAAGCGTAGTACTGTGTAGTGTGACTCTACCGACCGTATTACTATCGCGCGCAACTGTGGCAAGCATAGTAGTGTGTTGCGCGACTGTATCGAGAGTAATACTACCGCGCGCGACTGTGCCAAGCGTAGTACAGTGTCACGCGACTGTATCCAGGGTGGTAATATCGCATGCGACTGTACCGAAAGTAGTAACTTTGCGTGCAACTTTGGCAAGCGTAGTACGGTCTCGCGTGATTCTACTGGGCATAGTACAATCGCGCGCAATTGCGCCAAGCGTAGTGCAATCGCGCGCAACTGTATCAGTACAGTCAGTAGCATCGCGCGCGACTGCGCCAAGCGTAGTACAGTGTCACGCGACTGTATCCAGGGTGGTAATATCGCATGCGACTGTACCGAAAGTAGTAATTTTGCGTGCAACTTTGGAAAGCGTAGTACGGTCTCGCGCGATTCTACTGGGCGTAGTACAATCGCGCGCAATTGTGCCAAGCGTAGTGCGATCGCGCGCAACTGTATATACAGTCAGTAGCGTCGTGTTGCTTTCGACGCGCGACTGTACCGAGCGCGCCGCGCAGGGCGTGTGGATGGGCGTGCTGACGGGCGCCGGGTGCCTGTCGCGCGCGCTGGGGCCCGTGTTCGTGGCGGGCGTGTACGCGCGGCTCGGGCCCGCGGCCGCGTTCTCCGCCACGGGCGCGCTCACGCTCGCCGCGCTGCTCGCGCTGCGCGCCGTCTACCCGCGCCTGCTGCTGCCCGCCGCGCCGCCCCGCCCCGCGCCCGCCGAGATGCGCCCGCTCGCCCCCACCGCGGAGCCCTGACGAAGGCCTTCTTCTCACCGGTACATATGGCGTTCGAGAAGATGCGACGCCCGATTCTAGAATGCTATTCACGCAGATAGATATAGCGTTCGAGAAGATTCGACAATGTACCAAAAGCAAATTACGACGTCAAGGCATCGAAAGCGGCGTCGACGTAGGCTCAGCGACGTCATCGAAGGTTCGAGTTATTGTGAATTTTACTCGGTTTAGGTAATGAACAGTTTAAACTGTCTCTGTTGTGAGAGTACGACAACGAAGATAATCAAATAATTACCTTAGGTATATTTGTAAATGAGTGTTTGAATTATATGTTAATTGTTTCATTTGGATTTACATAATTATCGTAATCGATGAAAACTTCGAAGTAGACATTCGAGGGTAAAGTTAAAATGGTGTTTCGATAAGCCTTTGAAAGGCAAGAAACAATTAAAACTGAGTATAATTAAAAAGTAATGTAATTATAACTCTAAGTAATTATGATTTGTATATATTGAAATGGTTGAGTTATATAAACTTTTATATACATGTTACCTTAAGTACAAACCTGTCACTAAGACTGTTTACGAAATTTATACTGAAAAATGTACAAAAAAAAAGAACAATGTTCAGATAGAAGTTTTATTACAGGTATAAAAAGTTGTGAAAATTATACCAATAGCTCTATTATAGCAATAGATAGCTCAAAAATTTATTATAATCGACCAATTTATGTTTTTTACACGTTAACGAAAGTAGAATAAATTTCATTTTAATTTTAATGACTAAAATTCGCCTGAACTTGCTTATGTAAACCTTAAATTCGCCTGATTGGTGTGATATATACAGCGTGATTAAAACAGGGTTATCGTTTAATAAAATTTAACGTAATATCTAAAAATTCACATTCACAAAACCGAATGAACTTCGTCATTTTGCTCGTAACTGTACATCAGTGTGTAGTGGGAGCGAGACGGATAGCAAATAACAGCGGTGCGAGCGAGAGGACGATAACCTTCCCGCCTTAACAACAGGCAGTTTTGCGACACGTACACAATTAAGTTACTCGTATATTATTCCCAAATTAAAACAACAAACAGAATACAAGTGAAAAACTATAATATAATATTCTAAATATAAAAATAAAAAATATTATATTCTACTATAGGTAGAGAGCTCTAGCTAACTTTGTAGTGATAAAGTTTAGTTTTAAAATGAAACTTTTTTCCTCAATTTTTTTAGTCCATCCATCGCATGTTGCATTACAGCCGGCCGCAGAGTAGGGGTAAAGTGTAAGAGGAGCCAACTGCCAAGGCCTATATGTAGGAATGAGCTATACTAGATTATATCGAGTACCTGTTATGCCTGTTCCTGTTACTTAAAAGTAACAGTGACAAATACCTGTTACAAAATAGCAGCCTGCACAAAATAGTATGAAAAAATACTATGTTATGACAATTTTTTTTGACAACCGCTGTTACAGTATGTTCCTCTATGGTAACGTCCGTACTTCTCTTTCTAACAAAGCTATAAGACCGATGCAAGAAAAAGAAAGAGCTTGTAACAGTGACAGTGTTCAGTAAAAACTGTGACAAGGTGTAACAGTTTTTATCATGCGTCAGATGCGTTAGATGAGGCTTTAACAGTCTCGGGACAGAAAGCACAAACATCAGTAAATACAAGCGTTTTTATCTCTTTCTATCTACGGTAACAGTCGTAAGCATGAATAAAGAAACACATGTTAAGGAGCAATTCGTGTGGAACAGGAACTGTTATTTAAGTTTGTTCGGGTTTTTTTTAAATTAACTGATGTTTGTGCTTTCAGTAAAGTAAAAAAAAAAAAAAAAAAAAGGTTCATAACAGGTACAATCTGTTATCTCGAGATATCTTTATATTTTTTTTTATATTTACCTGTTACGATAAATACGCCTCACTCCTACCGAGCGCGAGCAGCGAACTCACAACTGCCAAGGCCAATATGGCTTGCATCAGCTAACCATGTAGTATTTATATTGAATTGGTATTATTATTTTAAAATTAAAAATTAATATTTATATGTAAATTTCCAGTTAAATGCCTACGAATCGAAAAAAATGTCATGTGATCTTGTGCATGTAGAGGATAGCAATACAATTTTCTGTTTTTCTTTCGTTTCCCATTGATAACCGAAATCCGTGTCGAAAAAAATTATCGATGTATCATTAAACGTCGAAAGTAATCGATGCATCGAATAGAAAATATGGATGTTTTCGATACATCGAGGTAGGTATATCGAGTATCGATATTGGGTCTCATTGATTTAAACGAATTTTAGAGTCGCACTTAATGTTTTCGCATAAGAGCCTTAAGGTAAAATTAGGTCAAGAAATCGGCAAAAGGAACATAAATATTACGTGTTTAATTATATGGTGTTAACTAAGTCTAATGCCAAGACCAAGGACAATAATAGTTTAATTCTGAAGTTATAAATATTAATCCGAATTATATTGATATTATCGTAACGAATTTTTAGCAGCTGTTTCGATTATCGATGCTCAAATATTATAATATTAATCTTAACATTATTGCCTTGAATTTTAGACATCTATTTATCTAAAAGATTTTATATCTATTTTATATAATTATATTATATCTATGTATAAATATAACTTTTAAATTTTTTAATTAATTTTACACAATTTTTTTGACACACGTGTTAACTGTGTTATGGCAGTTTTCTTTCTGTGTCTGAAATGTAACGAAATGGAAAAAGAGAAAATAATGTTTTTTTTTCGACGTTTTATTGCAATGTAATAAAACAAGAAGACTGATTGAGTTTGTATATTGCCGATGTTTAGTTAAACACTGGTCATCATACATTTCTTCGTAATAACGAACCCAAACTAGACAGTTAAGTAGACTATAAAATTTTATAGCTTTATTGTAATTTTTTACTATTTGTTCATTTCAACTTTTATGTTAGTCTTTTGAACAAAAACATTATTAGGCTTAATTCATTTAACGATGTATTGACAAATTTTTTGATACCAGCAGTCATTAAATAACATTTTTATTCTGTAAAAAAACATATAACATCAAGCATAAAAAATAACTAATTATTAATCTGTGTACTTTCTTTTATAGATTTATTTTCTAAAAGAAATCAATAATTGTTTATATAAAACTGAAGTGCCTAAATTACAGGGTTTCAGATACTATAGCATAGTATATAAGTGATTTAATATAGTACAGTATTTAAGTAATTTTTTGCTATTAGTTTGATATAAGACATAAATATACATATTTGCATTGAAATGTTATGTTTTGATTTTATTTTGTATGCGTGTGATACTTTCGTGGTATATACATATAACCAATTTTATGTTCCTAGATAGAAATAGGTTCGACGACTATCTTTGTTGGTGTTTTATTTAAGAGTTTATTTTACACCGTGACGTTGTCTAGAATTGCGACATACCGCGAGTATGTTGGACACAAGTGATAAATAAAAGTACTATTCGTTTTGCATCACACAGTCTTTATTTTTAACTTATTTAATTGTCTTACACTATCACAGTCTTTATGATTACGTTAAATGAAATATCCGACTTATACATACTTTATCGTTATATTAATATTAAGTGTATCAAATAACTAAACAGCTATATCCGCTATAGATATATATTGCATATATAAATTAAATATTATGAATAAAGAATAGACATATATGTAGATATAAATATTGTATATAATACATATATAAATAGGACCCAACCAGACGGAAACCCTCGGCAGGGGAGACCAAACGGCCAAGGGTTGGGGTGAGAGGGAGAGACACCGGCGGACGATGAGGGCGGTATCGAGGAGCACCGCCTTCTGAATTTGAGCATGGAGCGTTCCGTCCCGGAGTCCCAGTCGCCTCAGATGTTTGGAGAGGCTGACTGGTATTAACCCATTCGCAGACACGATTTTCGGGATATTTTCGGTCGGCACACCACCCCACATGTCGGTCACCTCGTGAGCCAGGCCCAGATATTTCGTCTTCTTATCTGTTAGGGCGAAAGGGAGAGAAACCGACCGACGATGCGGGCGGTATCGAGGAGCACCATTATTATTATAATCTTAAAAGAGCAACTGTTGAGTTTCTTGCCGTTTCTTGCTCTTCTTTAAGCCAGGTGTGGTCAGTGTGGTCACCAGCATTACGCGCAATCGCAGCTTGAAGGAGTGGTCAGTGCAGGAGCGGAGTGCGACGCGTCTCCGGCACGGCGAGGAGTACCAGAGCCGCGCTGAGGGCACAGCCCCCGTAGAGGAGGGTCTGCACCGGCTTGCTCTGCACAGTCACGGACAGAACGCAATGATCTCTTTTCGTTTCATTTTAAAACATTGCCGTTACTTCAGGATAGCATTATCCTGTGTTGTAAGGACGTTTTACCATAAATTTCACGGACATACAACCGGATGCGAAACTATCTGCGGGTCACACAAATAGTTGTCCCGTGTGTAAATCGCTCCCAGGACCCCAGACTCCGAAAGTAATATTTTTTGAAGCATATTATTTGTACACAAACACTATGCTGGTAACATAAAACTTTTCCAGCAAATGGAGATCGAACCCTCTCTATCTCTTAACATCAGATGTACCGCCAGCTCGCTTGACAACTTTTCAAGTAACAATTTCTTTTTATAAAGAAAAACAAAACCGATTCCAATCTCGCTCTGTATTCGTTTTATAATTGAGTTACAATAGTTATCTAAGTATCTCCGGAGTCCAAGATCCAATACCAATGAAATTGATATGGGACCGCATGGGAAGCACCAGCTTTCAATTAAATAAAGAATCATCAAAGCGTAACAAACATTAAAAAAAATACAGTCGAATTGAGAACCTCCTCCTTTTGAAGTCTTTTAAAAAGAGTTAATAATCAAGAGCGAATTGCCCATCTTGCTAAATAAGTATGCAATTTTTGTCCAAGTACCCATATCACATTGCAATATATTTTTTAAAACTTTGTACGTTTCATATATGTATAATTTGCATAAATATACATGTATATACCATGTGAACAGTCGCCGAAATAGTGTTAGCCGCGAATAACTATTTTGTCTACATTTATTATCAAGAGATGGCGCCTCACGGCATCGCGTTCATGTATATTTTAATCGGAAAAATGCATTGTAACTCCGTAGATTGAACATTATGGAGGACTTGTTACTTTTTGAATTTAATCGTAAGGAAAAATATACTATTCGATTCTGGTTTTTCTTTGTGATAGTGTAGTTTGCACTTGGCCCGGCGGCTTTGACAGTTTCGGCGCGAAAAGAGTCTAGTGTAAGGTATCAATATGGCGTAGTAGAGTTGTAGTATCTATATGTTGTAGAGTCTGTTTCGTATTGATAATTTTAATTGGATTCTTAATTCTTAACGCTGTTGGTGATTTTTTTATGTTGATAGTTATTATAATTAGAGCGACACCAATCTTTGTTTTGGTTTTCTTTAACTTGTGATAGTGTCTACTCTGTTGATGCAAGAAATTCACCTCATCCTCTTGCTTATCCCACCTATGGACCTTTTAAGTATCCTATGGATCATCAAATAATCTTGTTTATGGTATGCATTGGCTAGAACTAATACGAACGGCCAATCGTTTGCCTCTTTTTTCTATATAAAAAAAACATCCTTAAGTAAATAAATATATAATTAATAAGTCAGACCAGTAGTGGGGTCTGCGGCGCTAGCACGGAGCCCACGCGGCCCACCAGTGAGCAGGTGGCGAGGGCGCGGCTCCTCACGCGCGTGGGGAACAGCTCCGCCGTGTACACGTACAGCGAGTTGAAGGCCGCCGTGGCGCCCAGCTTGCCCACGAAGTACAGCCACAGGCTCGCGCTGAAGTGGGCTGCGTGAACGCACACTGGATTAGAGCTTTAATAAACTTGACCGCGTTTTACAACGGACGGATGTACAGACAAAAAAAAATTCACAACTACTTCGTGGAACGAGTTGTCGCCGGCGGTATTTCCTGGACCGGTACGACTTACGGACCTTCAAGAAGAGAGCCCACTCCTACCTTAAAGGCCGACAACGCAATCGCGACTGCAACTGATGTTGCGAATGTCCATGGGCGACGGTAATCGCTTATCATCGGGTGACCAGCATGCTCGTTTGACTCCTATTTCCTTAAAAAAAAAAAATCATCCACACCACCTCGATGTTCAACGTTCCCCAACAGCGCGATTTTCGAGGCATTGCCTGCCTCGTACAACCACCCTGTGGATCCAGCTGCCGCGGTGATCACTTACTATCAGGTGAGCCTCCTACTTGTTTGTCCCTTTTCTCCATAAAAAAGGCAAGTTTTATGACTTGGTTCAGTTGCCAAGGTATTGGCTTCGGGGGGTTTGCGTTTCATCGTGTGGTTTTGACTAATTTCTAGATTTTAAGATTCATATTCTAATCCGCGGAATTATTATTAGATTGTAATCAATTGTCAATCTGCTGGCCGGTCCGTCCGGGTAAGTACCACGGACTCACAGAAGTGTGTTATACTTATACGTTTCGTCTTGTGAGTCGGGTAGCTGGGGCCCACTTTATTTAAAGGTGGCAACGCATTTGTAACCCTGTAGTATTGCAAATGGCGGCGTTTTTCACTTAACATCAGGTGAACCGCCAGCTCGTTTGCCACTGTCTCGCATTAAAAATCTCGCAACTCACACACGAAGAGCGGGGTGACGCAAGCGACACCGCAGAGGGCGAACGAGGCGAGGATGCTCCTCCTCCTCCCGAACCTCTCCAGGGCCATCATGATGAGCAGCGACGCGACGATCTCCATCGCCATGTTCAGCGCGAAGTTGACGTGCTTCTCGCCAGAGAGGGACACCGAGTTTATCGTCAGCCCGTAGTACGTGAACGCGGCCGCTATCCAGCACCAGCCGCAGACCGCCAGCCGGACCACCATCGCCCGCGAACGCACCAGCTCCAGCCAGGAGACGGACTGCCTCTCCTCCACTCTTTTCCCGGCGGCGATCGATTTGAGGAGTTCCTCGTTAATCGTCACCTGTGGGTCGGTGGTTTATTTGCAACAATAAGTTCGGAACAACGAACGTACCTCGTTTTATATGCTGTACCTTATTGGTTTTTTTATGTGAGAAAGTTGCAAACCAGCTGGCGGTTCACGTGATGTTAAGTAATAACCCCCTGTCCATTGCAACACCCGTAGGGTTTACAGACGAAACTCAAAAGTGCAACACTTCTACTTTACGCCAGTCTTCTGTGAAGACGTGGTACTAACCCGGACAGACCATTCGGGCAGGCTTAACGGTGGTAGGGCCACGCAGCAGCCTCGGCTGTTTCACGAATGGGCAGGCTCGTCCGGGTAAGTACCACGGCCTCCCAGAAGACTGGCGTAAAGTGGAAGTATAACACTTTCGCGTTTCATCTGGTGAGTGAGGTGGCCGGAGCCCAATATTCAAAAGGTTGCACGCATCTGCAACCCTCGGGTGTAACAAATGTCTATGGGTGGCGTTATTCATTTAACATCGGGTGACCCGTCTGCTCGCTTGGCAACTTTTTACATAAAAAAAAGTCTGCAATCGCATGTTGCAAATGGGCGGCGGCGACTTCTGATACATTCCAGGGGTACCTTGTTCCAGCGCGCGGCCTTGCGGAGCACGTCGGCAGCGCGCGCCGGCGTGGCAGTGGCGTGCAGCCAGCGCGGGCTCTCGTCCACCAGCCGCCAGTAGAAGGGCAGCAGCAGCGCCGGCGCGTACGCCGCCCTCAGCAGCGCCCGCCAGTGTGGCAGCCGCCACGCCAGCCACGCGAACAGCACGCCCCCCGCGCCGTACGCCACGCCCGTGGCACACGCGAACGGCGCGCGCAGAGACGGCCTCGCCAGCTCCACCACTGCCACACGGGGCCACCGTCCATCGTCAACTCTCTCAAATGCGAGTTCGATAGGAATATTGTCCAAAAGGTTTTCGCACTGCCGGAATTTTAACGTCCCATCGTCGTTTCTTTCAAACGCGAGTTTAAGAGATAAATTGTCGAAAAAATTTTCCGCCGTCTCTTTCAAACTTTAGTTCAATAGATAAATTGTCGAAAAAGATTCGGCGCCGACAATATTCGAACATGCGACAGGGTAATACGCCCAGACGCTCCAGCCAACTGGACGTAGCGGCCGATATCCTGACAACACAAAAATCTCCAAAAAAAAAAAACTACGAGAATAGATACACTATTCTCGTAATTTTTATGGATGATATTAATTTTTATAGTCCTATTCTCTGCACTTAAGATAATGAAAATTAGCACCATATAAACTTAAATTAATTATAACTTAAAAAATATTTCTGGGTACTTTGTTTAGTAAAAGAGAAACGGTCAACAAACGGAGAAGAAAAAGATAATGAATTGTTTTGTGTTCGCCTATTTACATATAAGTGACGCAATTATATGATGATATATCGTGTACCACTTAAAAAGCTTTATCCCTATGATCTATCACCATTATTACTGTGTTTCGTACTATACTATTATAAATACATGGAAATGGGTTGGTTCCACGCACCCATTATGTAGGCGGCGCTGCCGAAGCCGTAGCCAAGGGCCGCCTCCAGAAACTCCAAGATTACATACATGTGGTACCCGACGGAGAAGGACTTCAGGAGGCCCATGACTCCAGCGCAAGCGGAGAATATGCAAAAGGCCGTGCGTCTGCCCCATCTGAAGAGGTACAAGGAAGCATCACTACATAGTATAAAACAAAGTCTGTCTGTCTGTCCCTATGTATGCTTAGATCCTCAAAACTACGCAACGGATTTTGATGCTATTTTTTTACTAGATACAGTGATTCAAGAGGAAGGTTTATATGTATAATAAATTGCACCCACGCGAAGCCGGGGCACGTCGCTGGTATCAGCAATAAGCACCCGTGGGACACTTACGGGAGGGCCAGGCTACCGCTTCAGGTGTTGCACGATTGGGCAGGCCCCTCCAAGTACAACACCTCACAGAAGACCAGCGTGAAATGGTAGCATTAAACTTTCGCGTTTCGTCCGAGGAGTCAGGTATCCGGAACCCACTTCCTTTTCAAAGGCTGTCAACGTATCGCCCAGTCTCCAAGTGTTGCAAATGTCTACGGGCGGCGATATTCACTTAACACCAGGTTAACCGCTTTGAAAACTTTTATTCGCGTAAAACAAACATTCTGGCAGCGGTGAAAAATTTTGTGAGAGTTTTATCTACACAATTAAAAAATATATACTAGTTGCAAATTGAAATCATAAAAATAAGTACTATAATATTAAGGCAGCACAACACGTGAGTTATATTGTTCATGTTATTTGCTAGGTTTTTTTTTACCAACTTCCGCCTGTTGGTCGCAAAATCTCTTAGAAATTACCTAGTTGCGTTATAACTATCCGTGGTTCACACAAATTCCCGTGTGTGAATCGAACGCACGCAAAAGCCAATAGAATAGCAAATTTTATGACCTTCAGTTTAATTTGCCATACAATACGAGCAAATGGTTGTCTAGTAATAGTAATAATACATACCTTTTGTAAAGTTGAAAATAGAACGTTATGTTTAAATTAAGGAATTGATATATTGTTTTTACTAGTATCTACTTATATAACTTTTCTAATACAAAGTGTGACTGTAAAGATTGGAGGTGTCTCTTACTTGTTAAAGTCATAATCGTTAATATTTTAAAGTATTTCATTATTACATCTTAATTTTTTTATAACTATTATAAGATTATTATATTGCTGTATATGGGTCGGTACGGCATCGAATCGAACTATCATGAAGTATGAAGTTTAGGACTGAAAATCAGCGCTGTGTGTTGACCTTATTTAACGATAATACGGCGTACAATTCTTTTCCTTTAAATTGATTTACTTCTCTTTTTTTTATATCGCTATAGTTTTTTATGTACAGATCTTTTTATTTTCTTTACTCTTGTGTGTATTTTTTTTTATTTTTTTATTTCTCTTATTTTTTGTTAAATTGTTGTAATTGTGTACGTCTGTTTTTGGTAAATAAATTTATTTTCTTTCTTTCTTTCAAATGCCCCACCGAGTTCTAATTGGTCACCTAACTCTCTGGTACAAAGACACTATGGTACATGCCACTAAATTTGATTTGATGACACGAACAAATCATTTTCACTAGTCATCAATAGTGTACGCCGAATGGTCGAAATTCAAATATGATCATTATTGTAAATATGATGAACACGTAATAATGTTTTTAATTGGTCTTTGCAAACTCTTTTCTACGCTTATGCAATAGTAATTGTATATCAGAAAACTTTAAAATATACAATACAAAACAAAATAGTGCGGTATAACGTAATGAACACAGATACTGAAAAAACTGTTTTATACGAATTGATCGAACTACATTTTCTTCAAATAACAGATTATGGTTTATCGATTTGTTTAAGACTTCAGTGGCAGATTTTATTATTATCTGGGCCATGCGTTCATATGACCTGGGTAATTGCTCCGGATCTAGATTTTTCTCAGATTATTTGTGGATGTTTTTAAAAATTATTAAAAATATACTAATAACAAAAATGGAATGTCAATTGTAAATGTTCTTAATGAACGCTACGCACTTTGCTTATTAACGCACTGGCAAATTTTGATTTATCACAGGGATTTGAAACTACCGCTTTGGAATGTAAGGCTGACGTGACAGCCACAAGGATGCCGATGCTAAATGTTATGACAAACTTTTCGTCTAATCCACCGCATAACTTTTATACGTGGATGATGTGGACTGCAATATTATCACTACCTCAACGCAACAGATCTGTTTACATCAAATATTGTAGCCGATTGTAATCCCCAATAAAATAAAATAAAATACCTGTCGGATACATGACCGGTGAGTAGTAGTGCTAGCGGTAGCGCGGCATTGCGCACCGAGCCGACCAGAGTTCGAAGCCATTCCCGGCAAGCAAGACCGAACTGCAAAAAGACATTTAAAATGTGCAGATAAATCGACGAAAATTTTAAAGACATAATAACATGATTAAAAGTATATTATTTATATATTTTTGTTTACTTAAACATGACATTTTAAATATCAATATATTCTTAGTAAATAATTTGGCTTCATTAGCAAATATACGGTGCCGGCACTGGGATCGAACTCGGGCTGCTCGAGTATATTGAATTGGCGAACGAACGGACGATGTTTTGTGATGAAAGTATCTTCACTATTAAAACATGTAGAAAAAGTGCGAAAAGATTGTCGCCGCTGTGGGAATCGAACCCGCGTCTTCGGCATTCGCGGCCTGACGCTCTAGCCACTGAGCTAAACGGCTGATAGTCACAGCGACGAAAATCTTAACGCCTTCCTTCTACATTGTTATTAAGCAATCTTAAGTGCAGAGACTAGCACTATAAAAAACTTTAAAAATCTTCACCATTATTCTATATAATGTTCGCTTTGTGCGCGAGGTTGTTACCCCAATCGGGCAATGTTACCTCAGCGTAAATGGTGCTGTGGTCCGCATAAACGAAGGCGTCGCACTCGACGGTGTCGACGGGGTGGTAGTCCTCCCGGGAGCAAGTCGCCCCCTCGTCCGGGGGCGCAAACCGGCGGCACGGATCCACCGCCAGGAGCCCCTGCACCGACGCATTGCCGAAATCGCCCCCCAGGCCTTCGCACTCTGGCACCAGGCATCTGCATAACAGAGCGCTGCTGTTTATTTCGTTGTTTATAAGCTAAAGTTGGAGCAATTGTTGTTATTTAATTTATATTTCCACCGGGGCCTATGTTATTTAAAGGTGGCAACGCAACTGCAACCCTTCGGTTGTTGTAAATGTCAATGGGACGCGTTTATCACTTAACGTCAGGGGAACCGCTAGCTCGTTTGCCACCGTTTCACATAAAATACACGAACCATAATAAGGTTTTACACGACTTTCAATCGGACCTTCTTCGAAGTGTTGGTGCCATTTTTAAATTCTTAATACTTCTACGCCGAGGCTTACAAGAACAATAATTTGCAGTTTTTAGTATATTTCAATATAAAATGGATTAAATTATGTAGTTTAGGTAAGAGATAAAGTACCGCGTTGGACGTTTTTGTTTCACGTGCGTTGTTTATTTTTGTAATATATACATTACCACTTCAATACATTATTATTTAAGAGTTGCATAGATTTCGAACGTCTGTAGATCTGTAGGTCACCTGAATACTTGTCGAAGCCTGCGGTAAAGACAGTGATCGCAAAGAACGAGTCACGTGGCTAATTGGCAAATTTGTTGTAGCTTATTGATTAAAAGTGCCTCATTGTAAAGTTTGTTTGTGTTTTCATTTACAACTGGGTGTATTTCACGATGATTGGATTTTAGAGATTCATTATAAATTATATAAAATTTATGTAAGGATTCTTTGGAGTTAAACGGTGGTAGGGCCACGCAGCAGCCTCGGCTGTTGCTCGTCCAGGTAAGTACCACGACCTCACAGAAGACCGGCGTAAAGTGGAAGTATAATAATTCCGCTTTTCGTCTGGTGAGTGAGGTAGCCGGAGCCCAATTTTCGACAGTTTGTCGACGCATCTACAAACCCTCGCGTGTAGCAGATGTCCATGGGCGGTGGTATTCACTTAACATCAGGTGAACCACCCGCTCGCTTGGCAACTTTTCACGTAAAAAAGAAGTTCATTTTAGAAGTCCGACTTCGGGAAGGAACCAGTGTGATATACAAGTAAAGAGACCCGCGAAGTTATACTTTATCTTATACTTTAACTGATATTTTCGCTTTCAGTCAGTTGTCTATTAAAGTTTCATCGGACGCAGAACAGGGCTAGTTAGAACCAACGAGCTTGGTACAGCCCTCCTCACGTGTTCATGGGTGCTTTATCTTACCGGGAGGTACGTCACGTATAGGCGAGGACCAACTTTGCCTACTCCCCGCGAAGAGATGTATATATTACCGGAACCTTTCATGGCTCCCTTCCATGGTATAGGCTACTTGGCAGGCCTAGAGCCGTTGTACCGCGGTTCTCTGTATGGTGAGGGTCGTAAAAATAGAATAGTTTATTTAAAATAGATATGCCATGTCAGTTACTGTCGTTTATTGTTTCTGTTTGGTGAGGGTCGTAAATATAGAATAGTACATTTAAAATAGATATGCTATATCAGTTATTGTCTGTTATTGTTAAGTGGACTCACGATTTCCAAACATTGGCGTGTTGCGGCCTCGTAGGGTTTTGAACCTCTGTATAGCTTACACCATGCAGACTTGATTAAATTCTAAAATAAGAGACGAATCGTAGCAAATGCATAACTTAGATGTAACAGTGTAGCCAACTGCTGAGAACCAGTGAGTGAGGTAGCCGGTGGCTAACTCACTGGTCAACACGTAAGGTATGCGTTTCACCCCAGCCTCCCTTGAGGCTTTAGTTCGTCGTCAGTGAAAAAATATGTATACCCCAGTAGCAATGCAATGTACGTACACGAACATACCAAACATGAAGTTGTAATGCACCTTTAGTTTTAGCTCGGTGCCGGCGAATGCAGTTGCACAGTCGCTCTCGGCTAAATTTAGTCACTTGGACACTTGACGAGGCTATTTCTGTGCGAAGCGGCATGCGAATGAGGTCGTTCACCTGTGATTACGTTTAAAACCTGATAGAGCCGGTAAAAATGTGAATACATATATCGGTTGCATGCTTAATCTGAGTAAGGCTGCACTTATAGTACAGTACTAGTACACGATCCACTCTGTCTTCTGCGCAAGGGCCTTAATGGGTGAATTCTATGTCTACGAATTTCAAACCGACTGCTGTTTCACTAAACCATGTTACCATCAGCAAGACATCATTCAGGCGATCAGCAAGACGGGCATTGTATTCGGGCGGAATAGTTGACGTTGGCTATTGACTCTACGTATTAAATGGGTTCAAGGATTCTCCTAATAAGTAAATAAATAAGTATCAATTATACACCATCATTATTTTTTCGGCCTTTAAGTGGTTGCCCATATCCCTTCAAATAAACGGCATTTCATCATCATTAAAGCCTGTCAAACCCAGAGCATAGTCACCAGCCATTTTCATGCATCATCTTGCCTCGAGGTCGTCACTCCATCTTGTGCGATTCGTCTTGAACTGCATTTGCCTGGACAAGTTTGCCTCTTGCGAATCTTCTTATTCTTTCCACTTCCCCAACGGTTATCGGTTCTGTGAGCTATATGGCCGGCCCATTTTCGGATTGCTAATCTATTAAAAATTAAAAAGCACCTTTATCTAAAGGCAGACATTCAAATTAGCCATTAATCGTAGCTGTCCTCAGTTACCCGATTATGTATACATAATTAATTCTCAATAAAACGGTAAACAAACAATTAAGCGTGAAACCTTCGTTCCTATAGGCACGGCTGTGCTCATTAGAATTCATTACATGATATAGTCCGAAGCGTTTTCAAATGCTAATCGTCGGCCTGCCGCCATTATACCGCGCCAAGTGACTTTATTTAGCCATTACGGCTTTGGTAGCGCCTCGACGTTCCACATTCTCTTATCTATGCAACGGCGGGCTGCAACGTTTGAACGTAATTCGTGTCAAGGGACGCTCGAGCGAGGCTGAGGGCGTCTTGGACGTATCTGCTTCGTCCATGATAACTGGCCATGCGGCTGCTGCGTGCAGACGAAGGGTCAGGGCAATCGAAGTAAAGTTGCAGCCTGAACAAGATCCACTGCTGTTGTCTTCTGCTCGAGGACCCTAGGGGATTGTCTAACACTCAGCGCTATAACGGATTAACCCTTATGTATTAAATGAGCTTTATTGGTACAATTCAATCTATTCTTTGTTTGTTATTTTGATGGAGTGGAAGTGAGATGCCGAAATAGTGAGCGGTGCTGGTCACCTAGTGGTAGATCATAAGCTAGTAGTAAGTTAACCCAAGGAACCGCATAGGTGTCAGTATATAAGAGAGCCGGCCAAGCAATACCAGAAGAAACTACATAAGTTCTTATTACTATAACCATGTTCACTAATGTCCTATGGTAAACTTCTATTTCTTCTCTATGGGCCGACTTGATCGGGAACCTGCCACGGCCTAAAAATATGTATACTTTACGAATATTTGTACTTTACGTTTCGTCTGATGAGTAAGGTTACTAACGGTTGATATAGTTATGTTTGTTCGGAAACCACCTGTAATAGCTCTGGTGTTACGAATGCCAATGAGCAGTGCTAAGCACTCACCATCAGGTGAATCGCTCGTTTGTTTGCTACTTTCTCCCATGAAACACGTAGTTATGAGTTTGTACTGCATATAAACGAGTAAGTGTGTCAGACTCTTTATATTTCTTGATATGAATTCAATAAACAAGTTTTCATTCTAACAAGTGGTCTAGATTTTAAATGCAATACGTGTTTTAATCTTATGTTTTAATTAGTCTATTTGTAATGTATAAATAAAATGCGGGCTACGTTATTTTAGTTGTTACATCTATTTATAAAAATGATGCGTGCAGATAATAATGTGAGTGCAAGTAGTCCGAAACGCTATCTTTTCATTGCGTGGTAAACAAACTCTTGTCGTAAATATAAAACTAATTTTTAGTACGAATCAAATTCGTTAAACGGATCGAACACGCAACACAAGTTTTTTAATTTTTAATTTTCATTAAATTTCCATCACGATCTTCGTGATAATTCGGAAAGAAAAAATTTTCTACCGAGCGTATCATTGTTTTTTTGTTACATTCGGTTATTTATCGATATTGAATTTACGTTTAGTTGACCAACTTTCTAAAATACAATCTTATATCGAGATTTACGTAATGTATGGTACTTGCACATTCTACTGCTGCGCCTTTTACAATTGTATTTCAATAAGGAACCGTTACAATTTTAAGGACTATTTTATCGTGAATATCTTCGTATCATATGCTTTTATTATCAATCTTTATGAACGACGATGAAACCGAAGGTGGAAGTTGATACTAGCCCCAGTTCACTCTACGACATGATGGTAAAATTAGATCCCAAATTAATCTAGTAATTCGACTAATCGAAGCAAGGAATTGTATTTTGCCATTAATTGAGGCATTAATTGAAAGCGAACATTTTATAATGCAGTGCGTTTGTGTGTCTGTAACATTCTGAGTTAGTTACATAAATAACTTAAAGTTAAAAGGTTTTACCTTTATTTTTGGTTGAAAAATTGATTTTAATGTTTGGCGTCAGACTCGTCTATTACCTTCAGTGACAAACTTAGCGGAGTGACAACCTGTGCAAATTGCGAGAAGTTAATGGATGCACGTTGCTCATGATCGTGCTTTGTGGAAGTTTATGGACCAGGCCTATGTTTCATCATCATCATCATCATCATTTCAGCCTGTTTGAGTCCACTGCTGAACATAGGCCTCCCCCATAGACTGCCATGAAGTACGATCCTGAGCCACCTGCATCCATCGGCCTATGTTTAGCCACTGCTAAACATAGGCCTGGTCCATAAACTTCCAACAGGCTCAAAAGGCTGAAATGATGAAGTAGCCCTTCCTATCTTTGTACCCCGTTATAGAACGTAAGGATTTGTTCGTTCTGGATGATGGATACGCGTCTAATAATAAATTATGCGACGGCGATGTACAGTTGGCAGACTGCGCGGCGCGCCGACACAGCTGACATGCCAACTGACCGCGATAAAGTATCGAGTTGTGGTGACTGGTAACAAGATACTGAAGTTTTTATGATAGATTGTCACACGGGTGAAACAGACATCAACGTACCAAAATCAAAGACATAAGAAACATACATTTCATCTATCGATAGTATTTTTTTTAAAATCTACCACCATTTCGTAATGAGGTTCCTCTAACGGAGAAGAAACAGATGAAAGAAACTCCGTAGGGATCCTCTATATTTGTCATTTTTTCCCTCAAAACATTAAAATAATATACCTCTAGCTATGAAACACTAATTTCCAGGCCATTCATACCAAAAAGGCTAGCGAATATTGTGTCGTGTGTAGCGTTGGAAGCAAACATAGAATGTTATAATTTTGTGTGATGATTGTCTCCTGTTATTAATTAAAACTATGTAGTCTGTCCAGTACAAAGTGTGCACTGTTTACTAACAAATACGTACAAGTTATACGAGTAATTTAGCGTTTCCTCTGGTGATTGATGCAACCAAGGCTGGCGTTTCATCTGCGTTATTCAGTGGTAATCACTATATTTCAGAAGGCCTCCTATTCTAGGAATAAACAGCTAAGTGTCCTAAACTCGCCTTTAATTTTACAATACTTGAGCAATCTCGGCTTAAATACCCATACCAATAATACCAAAATTAAGGTTACAATTTTAAATGTGGGGAGAGTAAAGGAAAAAATCTCAAGTAAAAGAAAAATCTTATTACGAAAATCAAAAAAATATTTTAAAGATAGGTGAATTCCTTCGTCTTACCAATCTTCGAGAAGACCGCGTGGTGAATGATTTTCTATTCTATTGAGAAGATACCTAAGAATATCGATAATTATAGAATAACATATCTAAGAAATGAGGAAAGAAATCGAAGATATGTGAACTCTGCCAACATTACATGCTAACTTAAAACTAAAGTACACTTTGAATATGACTTTCCATAAATGGTCACATGTATTTGCAATGCACTTACGACTTAGGATTAATGTGTAAATCACAAAAATAGAGCCATTACTAAAGGAAATGTACCCAATGAACAACAATTCGCCAAATAAATCAATTCTTTTCAAACATATCAGTGGACAAAAATAATTGTAACGGATAAAATTCTGCACGTCCTTGTGGAAAATTTATAAATTTAAAAAGCAAGATCTTATTTTCTCCCTTGCTATACTCGTATGAAACTTGTTCTTTACAATGCATGTCAAGTTGTTTGTGAGCAAAACCTACTACACGAATATATTAAAATAAACGCATCTTTGCTTCAGACCAGTTACGTGTGACGTCATTTCGATAAGAACATATGGCATAAAAATACCCTGGCAAGAGCGAGTTGGACTCGCGCACGTAGGGTTCCGTATCTATGAAAATGGCAAAAAAATCATGCCTCTTGTACGGGAACCCCATTTAAATATTTTTTTTTTAATTTTTATAAAACATTGCCCTTACTTTAGGATAACATTGTCCTGTGTTGTAAGGACGTTTTACAAACCTAAATTTCACGTAGACAACCACCCAAATGCGAAACAACTATCCGTGGGTCGCACAAACAGTTGTCCCGTGTGGGAATCGAACCCACGACCCCCGACGTCGAAGCCAATACGTTGGCAACTGCGCCACGGTGTCATTCATCAGACATCTGTGAATTTGAACTGTCTAACTATTTGAACCTATGGTAGCGTTTTGACCATCAATAAGTAAGTGTAATGCTTCTATATTGAATAAAAGTATTTGATTTTGATTGATTGTATCACGGTCATGAGATTACAGTCTGGTGACAGGCGGAGACACACACAGACACACAGCGAAGTCTTAGTAATAGGGTCCCGTTTTACCCTTTGGGTAACTCTAATATTAACTGTATCTGAATTACGCTGAAAGGGTGCTTCAGAATATGATGAACTAAGTTCTCATTAATCCTTACTAATGTTATAAAGGCGAAAGTTTGTATGTATGGATGGATGTTTGTTACTCTTTCACGCAAATACTACTGATTGGATTTTAATGAAACTTTACAATAATATAGCTTATACATCAGAATAAGATATTAAAATTTTCTGTATATCTGTCTTTCTGTCTTAATGTTACACCTTCAGCCTATTCTACGCAGACGTAGTCGCGGGCAGCAGCTAGTATCAAAATATGGCTCACCTAAAGGGCACCTGATCAGCGACGAACACGTAGTTAAGGGAGTAAATAGCGGCTAGGAGATTGGGCAGGCATAGTAAGGTCAGCACGTAACGCTGGTAAGGTCCGAAGGGTCCCAGTTGGCACAAGGCCTCCTCCATAGCATCTCCGCCGCCCAGCGGAGCGACTGTTGGAGTTGCCACTCCATCTACACTTGCAGAGATTTCAAACGGCCCGTCAACAGGCTTACTTGCTCCTTCTCTTCTTCCCGCATCGGCTTCTACAGCGTCTACTCTTCTTGTCACTGCTCCGTTTTCAGCGTCTGCGGCGGCCGCGCCTGCCGCATCCACCGGTGCGTTTGCCGCCATTACGAAGCCGGCACTGGCAGCCTCGAGACAGGCTCCTTGGCTTATCAGTGTTGACATGTAGAGCGCGATAACGGAATAATGTAATTTCTCCTGTTCCAACATGCTAACATCGGCACTATCCGAATATACTTTAGTTGGTTTTCATATTGTGATGATTTTAGATTTTCGCAAAGCTACTTGAGATCTGATAAAATGTTGAATGTTGATTATGGAAAAGGTGTATGCGGTCGCGGCCTTCAATATATAAAAGGCGGCGGCAGTTTTGATTCCCTAACGATTATGTAGTGTACACATTTTTTTCTTGTATCACGCTAATATTTCACACAGTTCACTTTTTACTCACTTTATTGCCGATTGCATAAAATCGTTCAAAGAATAGTTTTATTTAACCTAATTTATATGAGGTAAAACAATGCGTCTCGGACCCTACGGGTTTTGTAACTGTCAATGGGCGGCGCACTATTACTTAACATCATTATCACTTAACATCAGGTGAACCACCCGCTCGCTAGCCAACTTCTCAGTTAAAAAAATGCTTTCACCCGACGCCGGTCTTCTACCATATTGCAGAAGAATTGAAGTGTTACCATAGTGCAGATCATTTTAGGCTTTCATAATCTTAAAGCAAATCTAGTTTTGTTTTATGTTCTCGGTTTCGTTTGTTTTACCTCGGCTATGTCATGGCCGACGGGTTAAGGGTTTAAATTTATTCGCAGTCAGTTCGATTGGGAGACCTAGTTCGAAGTTTGACGAAAACAAATTAAGATTATATATATAGTCAATGGTCGTTAGACGACGACGAAGAAGTTTATTTGATATTTAATTAATTTCAGGTTAATTCCAACACTTTGCTGTTTTAAAGTCATATATTGACTCAGTACGAACATAGATGGAGTGACGACCAATTATAACTATTCATCATCATCATCATTTCAGCCTGAACACTGAACATTACCATTTATAACTATTAATAAGTCGATTTTTAGTAGTAGTTACATATTTCGATTTTAGCTAATCCTTCAATTAAGTATGTTTATGGGCCCTGTGGCAGATGAATATGTAATCAGTTCAAACACGTCTGGAAAAGAGCCAACTTATAAATAAACCAACTATTAACATAATTACAAACTGAAGCGTCTAAGAAGGTGTTTCAATAATCTACTTAAGTATTTTATTGCCAACCGCGAATTTCGCAATCGCGATATAGTTGCATCTTGTGATAAGGGGACCATATCGTTGATTATCTATTGATAACGCTCTCGAAATAATCCCGCAGGGCAAGATGGTTAACAAATGTCGTTTGATGTTATCTGGATTCGTCCTTACTTATTTTTATTAGGAACACCGACAACATCATTTATATGTCCAGTAACATTTATGTGTTTCAGCTATACGGACAAGTATCTTGTATGGTACTATTACAGTAACGGTTAATCAAATCGGTTAAAAGAACACACTTAAAACTTAAAGAACCAAACGAACGCTTAAACTATAAAAAAAATATCACAAAATGAACTTTTTATGTTAATTTCATTTAGTGATAATTTTTGAACAACGAATACGCTTAAAATTAACATGCTAATGGAGAAAACAATTCCTTTGTAAAATTTATCGTGTTACCGGTTCTGCCTTTCGTAAACCTAAGCTTGGTCTATTAAGATTGCTAAGGCATTGTTGTTGATACAAATTTATCGATTGTATCTATGTATATTGTGTTGACGGGGTTGGGTAGTAATTCCCAACAACCACTGCGATCTAGAAACATGTAACGTAGTCTTCCCTTCGAAAACATTGCCGAAACCGTAGGATAACATTATTCTGTGCCGCAACACATTATAAATTTCAAGTGTACAAATCCAAATCCAAATTTAAATTCAAATATCTTTATTCAATATAGAAACATTACACTTATTGATTGTTAAAAACCTATCGGTTCGGAAAAAAAAGCCACTGGCCTGAAAAAAATAACAAACATGCGTACAATTTATTAAATTCCTCTTGAAAGAGCCTGGAGCGATCAATTAATTCCTAGTGTGATATCATTCAAATATTCACTAATACCATAATAGAAACACACATATAATACAAATAACCAGATCCGAAACAACGATCTGTGTAAAAATAGTTTTTTTTTTTAAGTGAAAAGTCGACAAGCGAGCAGGCGGTTCACATGATGGTAAGTGAATACCGCCGCTTATGGACTTCTGCTACACCCGAGGGTTACAGATGCGTTGAAAACCTGTTGAAAATTGGGCTCCGGCTACCTCACACACCAGACGAAACGCGAAAGTATTTGTCTTTCCAATTTACACCGGTCTTCTGTGAGGTCGTGGTACTTACCCGGATGAGCCTGCCCATTTAAAACAAAGTTAAAACAACTCACACACACACACAAAAACTAACTTTCTGCATAAAAAAACAATGTTTATTTACAGCCTATCTAAGGAGTAATGACTTTTACGATACATTTTCAACAGAAACGAAATTCAAGTAGTAAAATCACTTTCGCTTGCACTATCAGTAATTGCAAAACCAGAAATTTTTACGGATCTTATTTTGGATAAATAAGTGCATTATGTCAATCTGATTGGCGTAGTGGATAGTAAACCTGTCGCTTGCGCCAGGGTGAGGGTTCAACCCCCACCACTGAAAAAATATTGTGTGATGAACATAGTGTTTTTCTAGTGTCTGGATGCTTAAATATTATGTATTTATTTACAAAAAAAGTATTCTTAAGCATGTTTATCAGTTACCTAGTAACAAGATCTGCTTAGTTTCGGACTAGACACCGTTGTGTAAATATGTCATGTATATATGAAACATTAGTTATTTGTAAGAAAAGCACCTAATATCAAAGTGGCTCGAAGAACTTTGTGAAATTTTTGCAGTATTTTCGAATAGTAGACCAATAGTATTGTTAGTTTGCGCTAGGCACCTTCTACTCAGCCCTGTAGTCCCGGGCTCGTACTAAGGTATCTCCTGCCTGTCGTAAAAGGCGACTAAAAGGGGACACGGATTGGCAGCAGCTCGAAGTGCCCTCGAGCTGCCGCAAGATGGCGAGGGAATTGGGGAAGTTTACCCTTCTTCGAGGCGTGCTCACGTCCCGAGGGACGCCGATGCGTTCCATAGGAGATCCCGGGGTCCCTCCAAACGTATAGAAGGTGGCCACCGAGGGGGTTTTAGTGGGTAAGAACCCCACATAACCCTGTCATGTGAGATGACAGGGTTATCTTTTGAAGATTTCCCTCCCCGATGCCAAAAAAAAGGCATCTTACCAGGCTGGATTCGCTCGGTCTATTCTAGGGACCGCTAGTTTGTGGGCTGTTGTCTGATGTCAGATGATCTCATTCTTCGCGTTTGCGGTGCAACATTCATACTGCGTGCACGCACTGGGCATATGTCAACGACCGTTCGGCCGGCCAGCTGTGGCACTGACTTAGTGGCCCGACTAATAATAGGGCGCAATATTTTTAAAACGGCCGTAGTACGCGACTGTACGTGTACCCTGGGAGCACGTGACAAAGCTTCCGTGGCCGCGGCTGGTGCGCCATTGTGACCGGTATTGCGCCGGCTTAGGGGCCGTATTGGCGTACACCGTTTCGTCGTAGCGCGGTCCAACTATCGGGTAATTGGTTACCTATCTCCTTTCATATTGCCGCGGTGCTCTGTTGCGGTTGATCATTCCCGTTCGGACCTCGAAGCCGGCGGGACGTCCCAAGGGCGGAATATCGCTCTGCAACAAATTCCCTCGTCGAAAGTTCTGCGCGTACGACTGTACTTGTATTTTTCGTCTTTGGGCTAAGTGAGGGTGTCTCAGTGCGATGGAGGGCGAGTGTACTGGAGGGTTTGGCCGTTGGCAAGTGCGCCTGGCGGTTCTGTTGGCGCTGCCCGTGCTGCTTACTGGACTCTACGGCACCAACTATGTGTTCCTCGCCGCTCATACTCCTTACAGGTAAGGGCTGGTATTATCAAATTATGTCACGGTTATGATATTATTTAAAAAACTAAACACCGAACATGTTAATTTCGTTGTTTGACCCCACAGAGCTTTTAAAAGTTGGTCAAAACTGAGGAGCGATAAGTGCAAATATAATAGAAAATGTAAGGTCAATAATATATTTGTTTGTGTACTAGAATGTAGCAAAATGAACAAAAATATGGATAAACTTTAAATTTCAGTTAAAATTAATTAAAGAAAGAAAGGAAAAGTCGATTGAAATTAGGTACAATTAATTTGAAATATTTTCTTTAAAGAATGATTAAGTTATACTTAAGTACATGATTATAATTAAAATATATTTTAATAGGAGTAAGAGTATGACAAAAAATTATCATTAAATAAATTCAGGTATCGAAAATTGAAATTCGTCTCAAAATTTTGTTTTGATAGATATATTCTCTTTCTCGACCTATTATACAATTATATATAGAATTTCATTACTAATAATTATTTATATATTACATAAAGTCTTATTATTAATGTGTAAATAACAAAACATTCCATATTTTCAAAAACCGCGGGAACCGCTCGCGATAAGGAAGTAAAGTTTTGGCGGCAAACGTATTTGGGGCGACGGACGGCGCGACGAGCGCGCTGTGCCCATTTCAGCGGATTATCTGTGCCCGGCGATTTTCACGCGGGCAGAAAACGAAAACACGCGTTCTGAAAGTGCTAGTGACAGATTCCACCGAAGTAATTCGAACTTAATTGAGGCCGAGTAGAGAAAAATTGGAAAGTGAACGTTGTTCTCTACCCGTTGTGCGGATAATTGCAATAATTACTATATCACTCTTGTTTTGCTTACGGTTGGTATGTAATAAGATACTAAATAACCCAGATCCATTAGAACCGATTGGCTTTAAAGGTGATATCACTTCCTGGTGATGGTTAGCTCGGCGATTTTTATTTGGTATTATTTTAAATAGCTTGTAGAGACAAATATCTAATTAATGACAATATTTTCTGTTTTAATTTGTGTCTAGATTGTGGCTATCTCGAATCGTCGACACTGAAAACAACTCCAGTCTCTCACATCGTTTTAGCACGTGGACTTGTAAATGTAGTTCTGTTTTTATTGTACAATCAATGATCTCTGATTGAAACTAAAGAGGCAATGGGAAAAATTTACTAGTTTTTTTTAAAGTATGAATCAGTTTTAGCCATAGCAATAAAGTCTTGTTTTTTTTAATTATAAATAATTATGTGTAAATTATAAATATAAAGGTATTCAGTGGCAACATCTGAGAATGAATTTTATAACTATTTTCGAGTTTTGTCATGATTTTTTTATTCTGCTAGTAATTTAACATGTCCTAAATTCAAGTTCGATGACCCTTACTGAACTTTCTGTACATGTGGAAAGTATGTCAGCTCGATTGAAGATTGTCCTGGAATTGAGTCGTTATTTTTTTTTAATCTGTACGTATCTACCATAATTTCTATGTAGTATTAGACCATACCAGTTTATAAAAACTGTTTCAAGTGCAAAACATTTTTTTTTTCTATCTTTACTCTATAATTATTTCATTGAATAACAGCGTAAATATTATTTAATGCCTCATTTACTTTGTTCATATAAAAAGAACTTTTTTCTATAAAGTTCCGGGCTTTAAATGGATGTTTTTTATACATTTTTACTTTCACGAACGTCTATTACAACCTGGTTGTCAAAGGTCGTAGATGGGAATCAACTCTACCATAAACTAATTTGAAGAGCTGCGTTAATCGATTGTATTTAAATTTTAGTCCATTTAAATTTAGTTTAGAAAATGATCTATACTTTAATATACATGTAGTATATTAAAGTATAGATCATTTTCTAAACCCAAATTTTGTTTTGTCGCTAATGAGTTGGAGGCCAAGTAGACAATTTCTCTCTAGACAAATGATTCCAAACCCGTATTTAAATGAAGAATATCTTTCATTATAACAATTGACCGCTTATTAAACATTTACTCCGAATAAAACATTTACTGAACAAGATTACGTCTTTTTTTTGATAAAAATTAACGGATTTTCGTTTAGATCTTTGTCAAATTGACATCACGCAATTTCACCAAGCGCGAAAGACAACTTAAAATATTTAGGCGCGAAAGATAACTTCTTATACGATAAATATAATTCTGTTATCTTTTTAAACGTTTGCTGTCGTTTTATATTTGCAATTTTGTCGTTTTATTTTTTAATATATGCAAGTTATTGTTAGTATAAATTCTTTATTATTTTTTTTTGTTTACTTTTATTTAGATCGTAAATGTTGTATATACCTATAGTAGGCATAAAGAACAAAAACTGTATATAGAAATGTAAGTATATGCTGTTGGTGTACCTTAGTAAATAAATAATATACAAGTAATTTCGAGTGTGATTTCAAGTGACGTGTTTTGGCAATAAAAATGTATAGATAGATAGAGATTCACGTAAAAGTTTCGGTCAGACGACACTCATATCACGGACACGCTACTTTAGCGATAACGTTGACAACATTAGCGGATTTCCTCGTTAACGTCCTCATAGTTTTTTTAGTGGGAGGACAATGACCCTAATATTACTAATACCTTTAGACGTGTGCCCAGGCTTGCTGTGGGACCGCGTATCAATCATATGTATCTTGTAAAGGTCATTAAATCCAATCGATGAAAGTTGACGTTTTTGAAACTAAAAATTGCATAGTTTTTTTTAAAAATTAAATAGCCCTTTCTACCTCCTTAGGTAGAAAGGACTAACTTTCGTAAACCTTGTTATGAAAATTGAAGTTATAAAATGTATCCTACATTGTTATACTAACTATAGTGGAAATAAATAAACACACAATAAAAAAGTATACATAAACTATAAATGTAATATGAAAAAAAAAAAACAGAGTAAAACAGTTTTTGTACTATAACCAGTATTCTTATTTTAAAGAAAAGATAATAAAAAAAATTAATTTGAATAAAGAACTACCTAGTGCATTTTCAATACAATCGCGTAAATCGTGTAGATACGACGTTTTAATTTGGAAAAAGAAAAAAACCGCGATCCACTTGTTTGCACGCTGCCGGTGTTATGTGAGTGAGCGCCACCGCGCGCCGGCGCCGCGAGCACGTGGGCGCGGATGTGCTGCTGTGTGCGAAGTTTGTTTCTATTTTTTTTAACGGCATCGAAAACGGAGAAGGTTTTATATTCGATTTCTTGTCTCTATCACACACGCACGGATCTGTTATGCGGCTGTGTTATTCGCGAAACCGGTGTGACAGTTCGAGGCCGTAACAGTTCTGCTTGGTAACTGCGACATGAAATTTTTTTTCGAATATATGCTTATGTTGTGATACGGGGCGCCCGCACGTTTTGTAATTGGTTTCGCGTCTGAAGTGCTGAGTTCTGGTAGAGAAGCATCGCAGTGATTGTAGAAGATTACTTCTTCTTTGAATAATGGCCTCTCTTAAAAGAATTTTGCCAATGTCATGTCAGATTTGAGGTCTTTTTCGATCCTTCCATGTAACACTGCAAAGAACATTCTGTTCGGTTTTACTGATTCCCGTGGCTCAATCAGGTCCTTAAATGTACAATGAGTAAACGCATGTCAAGTCAGTAGGTTAAAACAGGACGTAAAACATACAATAACTATTTGTATTAAGGATTTATTTTTGTTTTAAAGAAATAAAAAAAATAACTTATATAACAATATCTTTATAATTAATTTAAAGATATCCTGTCAGGTGACAGCTTGGCAACTTGTCACATTCAGTAAATAAGCTCTAAGATACTTGCATAGTAGTATTTTTACACCCAAAGTTAAAAAGAGGTTATGTTTCATATAAGCACATTGTCAATAGATTATTTATCTGTGCATTATTAGAAAGAAAGAACTAATTATTTATTCGTAAAGTACCGTGACCAGTCACCAAATGGTAACACAATAGTGTGGAAATAATATTTACAAATGACACATATTTTATTTTGGGGAACAGTTGTGTAAAATAAATAATTCAAAAAAATTATATATCATAAGATGGAATTTTCATAATTTTGTTTAACATTATCTTTTAGTTTACTCTGTATTTACCTAATAGCATTTTTCACATTATTGTTTTCATTCATAGGGAAGAACATAATCTTGAAAAATGATGTAAGAATCGTAAATGAACTAAGAACTAGGGAGAAATGGCGATGTCACAAAAACACATAATTAAAAAATAATCCTCTATGTTATGACTACCGCGGTTATACGCATAAGTTTAATGTGGAACTAAATGTCACTGAAATTGTTGCTTAAAATATCATACGGTTATGCGTAGGTGGGCTTTCTTTATTGTGTCCGATGGATTCGGCCCAGTTTTAAAATAACCACTTGTATAATGGTGGATCTGTTCGGAGGCTATTTATAAAGTCTAGCTTACGTGGTATTACTTGTTTGCGTATCGATGTCTTGCACGTGTGGAATTAAAATTATTATTCCCCTAAAAACTCTTCGCGTCCTTGTCGCATTAAATTTTATTTAACCATCGATTTTGATGGTAAGCAGTCACAACCGCCCCCTGTAATTTGAAAATTTCAATTTGCAATTTACATCAACCAAATTTCGTGCAATTCTTTTGATGCAAATTTCAGAGGCAATTTGCGATTCACACCATTAAAATTTCGGTTTATTAAGTAGGAACCAGGTCTGATGATACGACGATTACGATCGATTCTATAAAACTTCATTGTAGAAAACCCCTCGTAAAAACAGTAAGCTGAAAATAATCATAATTTTATCGATGTTTTCAAATTTGTCGCGTTATATTATAGTGGCCAAACTCAGCAGCGGCAGTTAATATGAATAATTAATCAGAACATGGTGAGTGCAACAATTTTTTTAATTCAAAGTCCTACAGCAAACAAACTCATTTTTGCCACAAATAAAGGGTTATTGGACCCATAAATCTTTGTTTAAAAATATTGGGTCACAGTATTTTCGTACTGGATTA